ACCAGTGTTTGAATATATGCTCGCTTTGCTCAGCTGAGCTTAGGAGTTTCCTCACTAACTATGGAAGTCCATATGTGATTCCGGGTAGAAATGGACAGGAATCAACAATAATCTCGCAAAATTTCCACAGAATTTCCACCAACACATGTGGTTGACCATGTGCATATTTTCCCCCCACACTGTTTGTAACAGATCTCCCATTCCTCACCTGTACCAGCTGACGGTCGCTCCCTCGGGTGTGGTCACACCGTCGGCATAGCCGTGGCGCATGATGCGCTCATGAGTCATCCAAGTCGTGTGCAGCCTTCTTACGTCGAGTGAATCTCCTAAAGGCTCCGGGCTTAAATGAACGGGATCATAAGACTCCTCGAAACCCTCCTGATATCTGCTTTTCCAGAACTGTCACTAAAATTTCGCACCACTTAACTCACCTTGCGAGATGGTCTCGAATGATCGGTTCCAGTTGGGAAGCTTGAGGACTGCACACCTCAGCCACGAGCATCACAGCCTTCACTGTAGGGTCCAGGCGGCATCGGAGGTAGTCTACCCAAACGTCAGAGGTCAGTCGTCCGAACGCACTGTATATGATACGACGCAGTTCCTGATCGAAGGTGTGCAGAGAGCATCTACGTCGGACTGTTCCCTACACTTTTATCAACTTCAAGATCGTCTACCCATCTGTTGATAGGCAAGTACTCCTTCGCTTGGAACGTAAGACCAGTGTCCCTGAGGGTATCAATGACCCCACCGGGCACTCGGCTCACCTCAGCTCTCCAGCTTCGACCCACTCTCCCCTGTCAATCCACGACCATATAGATCGCCAGTCGCCGCCAGACTGCCGGCAATTCTTCTGCTCTACCTCGATGGCTTCGACATCGGAGGCATCCTGAGATCGGGAAGTAGCAGGGTAGGGTCGGAGCTACGGGGGCTCACGACGATGCTTCCAGTGAAGAGCTCGCAGAGGGAAGAATCGCCCCGTCTGAGTACAGCACAACAGCCTTGGAGAGATTCGCAGGCCTGACAAAGTGTCATTGTTTCTCGTTATGAGAACGTGAGCTCTTCCTCAACATTATAGCCCGATTAGTTCAGCTGGATAGAATGTCTGCCTACGGAGCAGATGGTCGTAGGTTCGAATCCTGCATCGGGTACTTTTCCATCTCACCTTCCTCGTCCAAGAGTTCTCTATCCAGAGAGTAGTCATCGCTAATTCCCTTCCCACCTCCTCACAACGATCTCGATCAACCACCCGGACCTCTTTCAACGAGTAACTAACAACGCATGTCCGCAACCCTACAGAGTCTCCACTTCATCACTCGTGGAGCGCAGGGTCATAATTTCCCCTCTCCAACTTCGAGTGGATTCTGCCAGTCTCTGCACCCGGCGTGAGCAAGTCTGCTGAAGCGTCTGCCATGTCCACCACCTGCATAGATTCCACTCAACAGCAGCCCAGTATCAAGCCTACCATTAGGCCCCATGGGCTCTCCTGGATCGGCACGAAACAAACATCGAGGCCTCTGTGGCAGCCTTGCCGTAATAGA